TGTGTGTGTGTGTGTGTGTGTGTGTGTGTGTGTGTGTGTGTGTGTATGTTTGTGTGTGTGTGTGTGTGTGTGTGTGTGTGTGTCTGTTTCATGAAAGGAAGTGACAGGGCTTCACTGGTAACACACGTTCTCTCCTACGAGATTCCAGCACTGCCCTCCCTGACCCACCCTCCTCTTTGCTTGCCACCAACTGACTGCTCTGAAACACCATCAATCAAGTCACTCCTCTCCTCAACAGCCATCTATGGCTCCCAATGACTAGAAAACTGAAGGTCTCTCCAGACACCTCCTCACCTCCTGCCACTCTCACCTCAGTCTCCAGAGATGACTCACTAGTCCTCAGGCATATAGGGCTCCTCCAGGTGACTAGCTCTCTGCACATAATCCTTTTGCCTAGAACACCCAATTCCCCATCGTAGCCCAGTGCTCATCTAATAGCAGGAAAAGCTGACTGGCCCCATGGTGTCTTCGAAAACATCTGGGTGCGGGCCACCATTGTCTCCCTCAGGGATTACAGTGGCTCTCCTCTTGCAGTTCACCACCTGTTCCAGAAGTCAGCAAGGGCTGGCTGGGAAAGGGTGGGAGGTGGGGGCAAAAAGCCAAGAGAATCCTGGGAAGGTGCACGTTCCCTAGGACTTCTCAACATCAGGTCTCACATGAAGCATCAGGGCACTTTCAGTGAGGAAAACCCTAAAACAACACCATGCAGGGTCTGTAGGTGTGTGTGTGTGTGTGTGTGTGTGTGTGTGTGTGTGTGTGATGGTTCCACTAATGAAGTTCTCCAAGTCTCCCATTGGAACGCTCCTAACAGCCTCCAGTACCCTGGAGTAAAATCCACAGTCAAGGGCAGCATGGCCTGGAAGCATCCGGTCCCTTCCCTGGCCACTCCCCATTCCCTCTGAGGGATGCTCTCCCTTCCTAGCTCACCCTGCCAGCTTGCTCTCAGGCTTCTCTGCCCTGTCCAGAGAAGCGCCTCCCTCCCAGCTGTTCCCTTAAGCCACCCGATCCTCCTCCAGTGAAGAAAAAAACGAAGCCATGGCAGGCATAACCATCTAACAAGACCCAGGAGGTATGGAAAGGTTTTATTCAGGTGCGGTGAGGCAGCTCAGGAAAAGGGCAGTACAGCCTTCCAGCAGCAAGGGAGAGTGTTCTAGATGGAGAAGAACCAATGTGCCAGAGACTTGGGACACAGGTATCTGAGGATCTGATGGGAGGACACACCAGTGCGCCTTGCTTACACCCAAGTTCATGGAGGTGAGGTGAGGCAGCTGCAGTGTGGGGGACAGAGGAGCCACAGGGGTGAACAGGCAGACGACTCCTGAGACATTCAGATAGGCCCGAGCAGGCCTGGCCCTGGCCCTGTGGTGTTCTCAGAAGTTAGGCAGGCAGGCAGATTGTAAGGGCCTCGTGACAAGGCTAGCAAAAGCATACACAGAAAGGGACACCCCAGCTTATGGACTGTCAGAAGCAGGCATCCCAGAAGTCAGATGTGAGCCTCCAGTGGCAGCTGAGGCAAGGCCAGGCCTCTGGGCCTAGAGAACCTTCTAGAAACCCCTGGCTCCAAGGACCAAGTACCTTGATGAGCACCAATGGCTCTCTCATCTAGACTTTAAGAGGGACAGAGTTGTGGTCAACTCCTGTCACTGCCCAGAAGCTGGGTGGAGGATTGGGCAATGCAGGCAAGCAACACAGGTTGGAGGGCACTTTCCTTTCTCCTCACACAATTGGAAATTCTATTTTGTTCAGGCTGAAAAGCTCTCAAAGTGACCCTCCTGGCTTTGCAACTCACACAGGCATCTACAGGCCTGTTAGATCCCCCACCACCACCTTGATAGACAAGGAGAAGACCGAATGCACCTGCCTTACAGGAGGAAAAGCCCAGGACCCACTTGTGAGCGAATCTGGGTCTCCTGGCTTGTTGCCCAGCACTCTGCGCTCTATTCAGCTCCTGAGTGCATTGCAACTCAGACTCACCCAGGAATCTGATAGGTGGGCCCACCCACCGTGCCAGCCAGGTGGCGATGAGTCATCCACCCTCCCATGACTCACACTCCTCAGGTGCCTCCTAAGGTCAACAAACCGGGGACTTGGTGGCCACAACCCAACTTCTTCCACCTCTCCACAACCTGCAGGGAGAGCTTCTACCTCTCTTCCTCGAGGGAACCTACCCCACCATAGAGCTCCCAGAAGGCTTGAGAACACCGCAAGCAAGAAGCACAGCCTGGGTGGGAGCCGGCATGGGACTCTCAGCCTGCCTCACCCTGCCTTCAGGACCACCCTCACCTGCCTTCCGCTTGGTGAGGAGCAGATGAGATAATAAATCAGTATGGCCACCAGAAGGAAACCTTTCAATCCACAGAGGCTGTTCAGATTTCCACTCAGGATTCATCTAGATGCCCCAGGACACTAGGTGGGCAGTGGCTCTGTGTTGTTCTACCTACCTTACAGGGTTGTGCAAGGAGAAGAGAGCCACTCCGTGAGGAGATGCTGTAACAGCTGCTGATGGTACCTGGAAAGGGACCCAAGAATCTGTGTCAATGTCTGAGGTCACATGGGTAAATCCCATCTACCCTCATATCTCTAGCAAGGACATAATCACTTCCTGCCAGTGCTGCCCACACCTGCTGTGAAGGGTTAACCAGCCAATAGTGGACCTCAGGATGTCAGGCTATGAACTCCTTGGAGTAACTGTTTCACTCTGAGGTTGTGGCCCAGTACGACCTGGCAAACGCCACCTCCAAAGCATGTTAGAAGAGGGGCTGAACGACCATCCTATCTATCCTAATCCCAGACCAATGGTGGGCTGTACAGCTGAGCCTTCTGGCCCCTGCCTTCCAGGAACAACCTAGAACTTCAATTCTATACATCACTACTGAAAGTCCCAGTCAGCTCCCTGTGGGGAGCAGCCAAGAAGGCTAGCTCCTGCCCACTCTAGAAGATCTTGCTACCCAAACCAGCTTTTTCCAGCCAAGGGGAGAGTTAGGACCCCAAAACAATGGGGCCTCACAGGCTCCTGAGATGAGGATACAACAGCCCCTTCTTTTTCCTTTTCTTTTTTTTTTTTTTTTTTTTTTTTTTTTTTCCGGGGGAATTGGAGTTAAATGGTACCTCTGTGGGCCTTCCTCAACTATCTTGCAGAAAATCCCTAATTCTTAGAGGCACCAAAGCACATGGGGCTGGGGGTTGTTTTTTAAAATGACAGACAACTATGCACATTTATTAACTCCAAGCCAGTCTCACCTGTTCCCTTGGGGGTGGGGGCTGCATATGTTCCCAAGTGTACCTTCTTTGTCACACTTCCCATTCAGCAAGAAGTGCCCCCAGCCACTATCTCCCATCCACATAAGGGTCCAGGCATCACCCCTCACAAGCTCCAGTTCACAGTGACTTCCAATTACTTCCTGCCAGTTCAGCCTCTGACTACACCAGAACACACCTCCACTCTCCCTCCCCACTGTCACCTCTCAGCTGAACGAACAGTCCATCTCTGACTCACTCACAGTGCAAACCTCCTCAGAGCAGGCCCAGACCACATCACTGGGTTACTCAGACTCTGCTGTGGCTCCAGTCTAGGACCCTTTATCTACCTTTCAGTGTCTACTCTCTGTGGTCTGTCATGGCCAACCACTTGAAACCACAGTTCTCATCCATTGCCATCTGTGCCTGCCGGACTCCAGCCAGCCAGTGTGTTCCATCCCTTGTGTCCTCTGCCACACTAAACTGAAGCAGTCTATTTCTGTATAGGTCTCTCCCAGGAAGCTAAGTTCTGTTTATGCTGCCCCAGATCCTGGCTCCCTGCAGCTCTGGATACTCCTGGGAGAAGCCAGGGAACAATATGCTTGCACACATGTCTGGCACGCATACTCCAGGCACATTCCCACAGAGCTTGCTCACAGTACAGATGCTGCCACCTATGGGCAAGAAAAGCACTACACTCTTTCTGGAATGGACACACATCAAGGACCACCCCAGCTAAATCTAAGTTTGTGGGTTCCCCTTCTGAAAAGGCTATAGCAACTCAAAAACAAGACTTGCAAGCTGCTGATACTACAAAGTCTCCACCCACATGCTCCCAATGGAACAAGAAAGGGAGGGTTTCTGTTGCAACCCCCACCAGGCCAGCTGCAGGCCGCTTGTTCTGAGTCAGCCTGCACCAACTACCTCAGAGTTCAGGGAGAAGGCAGCTCCCAAGAGTCAGGCTGTCCACCAAGAAAAGGCTAGCCTCTGGGCAGGGTGCTCACTGACAGTCAGTGTGCAAGCCACCAGGGGACCTCCATCTAGGCTGCTAGGAGGGAGAGTTCTGCTTCGTGGGTGGTGGAGGCTGCAGCAGCGGCTTTTCTTATCCCCTGCCGAGTCACCAGGAGGACTTTTGGACTTGATGTCCAGTCATACCAAAGATTCAAATGGCCGCCTCCAGTGACAAGTTGTCATTCTCTGTACACCTACCAGTTATCAGACTCTACAGGGAACACAGGAAGTCTGCTAAGCAGTTATCACAATGCTCATCTTTTCCAGGGCGACCCCAGGCTCAGAGAGGTGAAGAAAGATGCCATAGGTCTGGTCACACAGCAAGGCAGCTCCCAGTAAGTCAGACTGCTGCTCTTGGGTCTGGCTTTTATTCAGTATCAAGCTGTAAATAAGACTAAGCTTCTTGCTCACTTGGAGAAAGACCTGAAGCTTTGGTTGCTCAGTTTACAGAGGGCTTCTGCAGAGGGCTACAGGGTAGCCCTCTAAGCCATGACAGGCCACTACTGTCTCTTGTTTTTTATTGTTGTTTTCCCTTCCTTTCTTCTTTCTGTTTTTTTTGTTTGTTTGTTTGTTTTCTTGTTTTTTATTGTTGTTTTCCCTTCCTTTCTTCTTTCTGTTTTTTTTTTTTTTGTTTGTTGGTTGGTTGGTTTATTGGTTTAAAAATTCTTAGCTCAGGGCCATATGAAAATAGACTGAGTGCCCCTAGCAACAGCGGTCATTCACATATTTACTGAGAACAGTATTTATCATCTTAAGTGTAAACCTTTCTGGTGGAGATGTTTATCAAGGCCACATTGCAGGACTTTCAGCTGTTCTCTCCCTTCAGAGCTTCCCACTGAGTCAGTCTCTCCTCTTGAAGGTCCCTACCTCTCCACCTCTCCATGACTTTGCAGGAAACTATTTCAACAACTGCTCACATTCTCGGAACAGTGGAATAAAGTCTGGCCCAGAGTTGGAAGAGAAGAGGGAGGCAGATAGGATGGGTAGAAGGAATCTCCAAGGTGAGACATTGAAAGACCTGAGTTGGGGCAGGTTATTGGTGGAATGCTTGCCCAGTAAGCACAAGGCTCTGTGTCCTACACCCAGCTCTGAAGAAAACAAAAAAGTACCTGAATCTAGACTGGCTGCTTATGCCTTACTGATAGAATTAACTTTTAGATATTTATCTTAAATTGACTATAATTGATTGTCCACCCCTTTTTTTCTGAGGGCCTCATTTATCTCAGGCTGGCCTTGAATTCAAGACACAGCCAAAGATCTTGAATTTTTGATCTTCCTGCCCACTTTACACAGGTGAGCATCACCACACCCACTATATACAGGTATGCACTACTTCACCCACCTTAGCATGCTGGGGATCTAACTCAGAGCTGCATGCATGCTAGATAAGCTAGATAAGCTAGATAAGCATTCACTGTTGGTTTAGAATCTTCCAGTTCAGTGTGACCCCTGGACTGACAGCATCAGCATCAGCTGGGAGCTCATTAGAATGCAGATTCCAGGACCCAATCCAGCCCTAAGAAATCATCCACCTACATTTTCACTGAATCCCTGAGTGACTGTGGACATGCTAAGTCTGGGAGATTCTTCAGAACATCATTCCTGTCTACTTTCAAATCATTAGACATCTAAGGTGTCACAGTTTCACCTCCCTGATCTCAGATCTGCAGAATGGACAGACCACACCTTCACTTGATCTTGAGATCTGATCCTAGCCAGGTAGGAAAGATGACTTGGGAGGAGAGGAGAAGGCAGCATTCCTATTTCACAGAGGAGTGGGAGCCAAGTTAGAGAACCAGGCCAGACAGGTGGGCAAATGACTCACCCAAGCTCAGCAGCCAAGATGAGCTAAGGGTATGTCCATGGCCAAATTCTCCGATCTTCCCAGGCCTTGGGTTGAACAGTAACTGAAATAATTTTGTTTAGATGTGTACTTTTGAAATACCACAAGAGACGGCACTCAGGGAGCTAGGTGGGTGTTTGTGGAAACATGCTCACTCTCTCAGGGCGTGGGAACCCCTGGTCTGTAAAGAAGAGGTGGACTACATAGTTCCTGAGACCTGCAGAGTGAAGAGGTGGACTAGACAGTTCCTGGGACCCATCTCTATAGGTCAGATGGGGAAACTTGTCAGGTGAGAAGGCAGTCAAGAGTGGCACCTTCAGAGTCACCACAGACACAGTCTCAGGGTTGGGAACACAAAGGTTGGTGCTACAGTCCCAGAGAGCAGCTTGGCATGGGCACGGTACAGATGCTTATGGTAGTGAGGAAACTGAGGCCTCCAAAGTTGCCAGGCTTCTCCTAAAGCCAAGAATCTTTCCTTTTAGCTGCTAACAATGTGGTGTAACAGGGGCCTAGGAATTGGGATTCTTCCAGGAAAATTCCATGTGGACAATGGAGATGGGCCACCTACAGGATGGGCCATCCTGACACCAAGAGAAACTCTGTTAATATGAAGATTTCCTAGCTTTGTTTTTCCTCTGCATTTTGCCATTCTGCTAGGAACCAGGTGGAGATGGACTAGAGGACCCACCTCAGTTTTAGACAAAACCACAAATAAATTAACTTTCCATCTCTCTATAGACTGTGATTTTCTCGTAATGTGGAGGACGTTTGGGACCCATGTGTGGGCCTAATGGCAGGATGTTAAGTCCTACAGTTCTCTGTACAGTGAAAACACAATACAGGAATATTCAGATGTATGCCGATGAGTGATGTGGGAATTTTCAGTCCCTTAACAAATACTAAGTTCTGCGTTACACAGGTAGTCATTACAAAAAGGATTCAGCTTGGGCTTTGACCGGAAGGCCTCCAGGGCACCATGCTTCCCACAGCAGAATGCCATGAGCCTCCTGTCGGAGAGTGCAATGAAGCCAGGAGAGGTAGGAAAAACAAAACCTTGCATGTCCATTTAAATTTGAACTGCAGATATGCATTGATTTTCCTTTGTAAGAATGCCCTAAATACTGCAGGAAGGATAGTAATACTAAATAATCACTCATTCTTTATCTGAAATTCTAATTTAACTAGCATCCTGTTTTCTTAGTTGCTAAATATGGCCACCCTAAGGGCAGAGTCTGAGATTTCACATTTCTTTCTTTTTCTTTTTCTTTCTTTTTTTCTTTCTTTTTTTTTTTGTTTTTTTTTTTTTTGTTTT